AGGTTTGTGGTCTGTACCAATTCCAAACTTTCTTCCCCACAAGTATTGGTGAAATTCCTTGACCCAAAGCTTACTGCTAGGGCTTTCTTGTCAAGCTGGGCGTACTTCCTCTCCGCTGGTGCTAAGCTCCTGGATGCGAAAGTTATTGGTGGTTCGGTCATGTCTTCCTTATTGTGAGATAATGCGGTCTCGAGCCCTGTGGGTGATGAGTCGCACCGGAGAGTAATCGACCTCTTTGGGTTAAGTGTACCGTCAATTTGGCCTTACTTAGGGCCATCTTGACAGCATCATAAGCATTTTGTTGTTCTGGTGACCACAGCCTTCGGGTATTCTAGCGTAGCAATGCATACAAGGGTGCGAGAGTAGTTGCTATCTTTTGCAACAAAGGACTGTAATGAGTCAATATCGTGAGGAATGACTGCAGTTCAAGAATGTTACGCGGTGCCGGCGAGTCGAGCATGGGTTGAACTTTCTCCCGTAATGGATGTAACCCATTGTTGTCCAAACGAAACCCCAGGTATTCAACGCTATCGGAGAAAAGGACACACCTGGATTCTTTAAGTCCGCTCCCTTGGAGTCTCTCCTAAAGAGTAGTGAATGCCGTCAGATGATCGTAATCCGTACTGTCAGTAACCAGGATATTGTCCAAGTACGCACACACTGTATGTCTACCTTTCACTTAATTGTCTACAATTCTCTGGAAGATCGCCGGCGCGGTGTATTCCGACCGGTAACCGGTCATAGTGAAACAACCCCAAGTGTGTATTGATAGTCGTTATTTCCTTAGCAGATTCATGGAGCTTCACTTGAGAATAAGTGTGGCTCAGATCAAGTTCGGATAACTTTTGCCCACCTGATAAGATTGCATAGATGCCATTTATACGTGGAATAAGATAGCTTTCCGTAGTCGTCGCTTGATTAGTCTTTAGTTTCTAGTCACTACAAATGCGAATCGAGCCATCTGGTTTTTGTTTCGGAACGATCCGTGCAGCCTAGGATGAGTGGCGTACAGGGGAAATTATTCCATCTTATTGTAGGCACTCCAGCTCCGACTACCTTCGGACGGATCTTAAAAGACAAGCTTCGTGCTTTGAAAAATTGCGGTTGGGTACCTGGCATGATGTTGAAACGAGCTTGGAACTCACGTAATTTCTCGGGCGGGTTTGAATCCAGAGCAGTAACAAAAGCTTTTAAAAGTTTGGGCAAATCGGGAATGCGGTCCACTATTTTGGCATTTCGAACTATTTCCGGCATGTGTTTCAACCATTTCATCCCAAGCTGGTTTGTGCCGTCGGTATTAACCACGATTAAGCGAAGCGTCAACCTATCGCTTCCATCCGTTATCCTCGCCACACACACACACACCCAATACATCGAGCGCCTCTCGAGTGTAAAAACCTAACGTAGACTGCGTCGGTGTCAGAACCAGATCAGACAATGTTTGCTTGTTACTCAAGGTGACTGATGCCCCGGTGTCGATTTCCAAGCGCACTGGCTAGCCCTCTATGTCTTACTCCGCAGTATATGGAGGTATCTCAATAAAATGAGATTTAGTAGCGTGTGATATTAAATACGCGTTGAACTCGCCAAGTTTTTCCACTGATCGAACAGCATTTTGCACAGGGCAGGATATCGATCATTGGCAAACCGTCGAACGGCATACTTTTGCAAAAGGTCTAACTTTCCCGCATTTGTGACAGGTAGATTGCTTGTGTCTACAGTCAGCAGCATTTTCATGCCTTACACCGCGTCGGTAACAAGTAAAAGAACGTTTACCGGTTAGTTGGGGATGCGATTTGACAGCATAAACTGCATCGGGAAGTGAATCGTTCCGGAAGTGAGTCATCCTCAGCATTATACACGTCAGCTAGAGATGGGGAAACACCTCAGCTACTGTGCTGCAAAACATGAAGGAAAAGGAAAATAAATACAACAATTGCATGCCAGCTGAGCTATCAGCAAAGGATGGGCATCGTTCCGGTAAGCTACCAACCGGCTACTAGGCAAAAAGAAATATTATTATGTTTTACGCTACGAAATGAGATCGTAGAAGGTGGGGGAGGGACAGAGAAATTCAAAACAGGAACGCCACTGAGGTCGGCTCCTTGCCATGTCAGCAAGTATATCCAGCCAAACGTGTTCATCGTCTTTCGGACCCCAGCCAGGGAGACGTGACGCTCCAACCTAGGCCAGCTCTGAAGTGAGGGCCTTCATTTCTCTCGACCAAGTCAGTGCTTAGTCACCACTCCTCTTCTTCCATCCACATCCCTGATGAGTAAACAACGCACGTTGCGGAAGTCGGTTGGCTGGCATGCGTAACACGTGGCCGAGCCATCGGAACCTGGTGCGTGAAATAACGGTGTTGAGCGGTTCAGTTCCTTTTTCTGTGCCGTAAACAAGCGTCGAACACGCTGGTTGCTCACGCGGTGTTCCCACTAGATGTGAGCCAAACTGCGAAGTGAGCCAATTGTTGCACTATGTTCTCGCGTTTTCCGGCCAGCGCACATGCTGTTTTCCATTTAAGTTTGTTCTTCCTAAAATAGACGTTCCCTGGCTTTATCGTCTCGGATACCAAACAATAGACACTGGATGTCCATTGTCTCTTCAAACTTTTGAGTGGATGTTCATTATAACTGCAGTCTGGAAGTGCTTGTTGTATACGACTGATGAATACAGTAGCAACTTCTTCCTCTCTCTATCCTAAATTGGAAAAATTCAGGCGTGCCGTGAAGACATGTTGCCGTGACCCCCAAAAGCAATCGAATGCGTTAACACTGGCGTACAACCCCAGTGCATCAAAATGCCTTTGACCTTCTGGGCCAAGATGTCTCAGGAATTTGACAGGTTGGGCTTCGGTAAGATTAGTGTGAGGATTTGTTACTGAGATTAGTTCGTAATCGCAGAATTTCCTCTTTCAGCGCATCTAAAGTGCTAACTTTGCCTTAAAAGAAGCATCCTTCCGAAACGGTTCAAGTGGAGTAAGCTGGCTCATAGCAAATGTATCGCCAGTGTTACAACTCCAGCCCTTACTGAACCACGAGTCTTAGTAGAAACCAGTATTCCGCCCGTAGTCTGACAGTAGAACACATCAGTTTCATCAGCATACTGACTGTATTATGTGGCACCATAAACACAAAGGCTCGCGTAAGTTAAGACAGTCTAATCAACGCTTAGCATGGCGTTAACGGACTTACTGACGCTGGTGGATCCAGCCAATAGGCACTCCGTTTAATCTATGATTAGCTTGGTGTTGGACTGACACACTGCCTCGTGAACTCAGCTCGCGCAGATGCCAAAGGTATGCACAGTCTTTGTGGTGGTGCTAGGCTCAATTGGACTACGACTCAAACATTGCCTTTTGTACGTTTTATATACATTAATACCTAATTAGATAGACCCAAATGTTGATGTTACGTATGCTGACGCAGGATGGGCCGGCTCCGTTGGTGTCATGTGACTCCCATCCACATGCATCCGATCTTATTCTTCCGGGTTTACAGTGGTTATGGAGTATGTGTTTAGAGCTATGGGTGCTGCATCGTTAGCCACTCATGGTCCCTTTGTAGGTGCAATCGTACTGTGGCTGTCTCCATAGAGGTTGCAGCAACAGACAAATCCGCAACCGGACGCTACCAACCACTCCAGACTAAGCTAGCTCAATAGACTGAAACTGTTTACAAAATTTGAGACAGCTGTTGTCGAGTTTCGGACGTCACGAAGCCTAACGAGGATCATGTTGCTTTATTCGTCCAACTGCAGGAGTTGCAGCGGCGCTTCGATTTTGTGATTGCCGCTGCTCAACGCACGGCGTTCCGCCCCGACTCTGGCCACTCGGAGCTGCAAACACGAAGACGCATATATCCCTAACAAGTGCAAGTGAGGACTGCTGTTGATAGCATAAGCAATACGGATGTAAACCTCGACCATGTCAGCCTCCTTGTTCCTTCGCTAATCACAACTGCCATGGCTATCCAAAACAATCGACCCTTTTCGTTACCGGCCCCAGGTCTGGACTATTTCGTGGATACTAGCGTGGAAGCAAACATGCTCTTATCAGACTCGGTCGCAGACCAAACTAAGCTGCTAGGCACTAGCGCGCTGCCAAAAGAACAAAGATTTTCGTTTACAACCAACGTTGTACGCTTAACCTCCGTCAGACAATCGTTCAAGTGAATCTTCTTCATCGCTGACGTCCAGAACCCTGCATTAACTAAATAAATGTTTTTTTTTCTCTCCACAGATCGAGACACTCTTGCATAGGCATGATCATGATGATACAACAAGGATTGGTAAATTTAATACCGGCACAAGTTTATAAGTAAAATCTGGATCCATGTGTTTAGCGTGGGTGAATGAATGTAGTTAAGAACGAGTGTGGTTGTATTGCTTGAATTTGTGAATGTAACGCCGTATTTGTGATTTATTTTGGTCAGTCGTGAGGAGTGAAATCTTCGTATTGGATGACCCACATCCGTAGATTGGGTTAGATCATCCGGATACGTTAGAAGCTGTGACCTTATTTAGTGGCGAGTCAAATCCGCCACGTCACAGTGTTGTTACACGGACATTTGTGGCTTTGTATGGAGAGAACGCTTGCCGACTGAAAACCCACCACATCCTGGAACACTGCCGCCGAACTATTTGCTGGAACGGGATCCTGTATATTTACTTAAACTGTCCGATTTTTCTCCTATCCATCTTCTCTCTTCATCTTTGCCGAAGGAACAGCCCTGCGATCCGATGTTCTAACTGTGTCTTAAACATATATTATTAGCCGGATAGAGGAACTTTTGGTTAATCCTGTTGATTTAAGGCGATTATACTTTGTCTGCTTACGCGACTGCTCTCCGTTCTTGTGTGCAGCTACTTTTTGTTCTTGAGTGAGTACTGCGTTTTGTTCTTGTATACTGCGTGAGCTCTTGTGGTCACATGCGTCAGATGGTAACTTCAGCTTCTCTTGAATACTTGGGTTACCCATGCAATGTGATATTTTTTAACAGGATGACGCCACGCGTACCTCACAGATGAGGCAACCCCTGAGTCTCTGTATTCTGAGACCGAAACTCGAGTCCGCAGCGGCACTTCCAAATGGGGAAACGATTGGTGCCTTCTTGAATCACAAGAAGAGTGACCAATTGGATTCCAACGTTCAGCGCATTTCCGATCGGTCATTGAAAGCCGAAGAAGATGCTCCTGTGTTCTCTTCGGACGAACCTTGCGCAGTCCAGGCCCTGCCAGTGTCCTCCGTTTCTGGGCAAGGTATTATATTCAACTGTGTGCACACACATGCCTAATTACACATGTAGTTTTGCACTCTGTCAACTGTTACACTATGTATTGAGTGCCACTGCATATGAAAGAAGACAGTAAAACGGAAAAACTGCACTCAGAAGAGTATGGTTCCTCAGAGCAACTTTCAACCTTACAAATGGGTGTTCCCAGTTAGGTATGATTGTGCTTCTGTGGTCTAATAAAACTTAATCTGCCAATCCTGTTGTGGAACTTGGCGGACTGAATTCCCGGGTCCCTCAGCAGTGTATGAACGGATGAAGCAGGCAGTAGCGGGTCTCACTACACCGACCCACTGAGCATATAAATCTCGAACCGAGAGAAACAAGTTTCGTAGCTAAGTACACAAACAAATGGTATATTCCTCTTCGATGCGAGGTGCAGTCCAACTATGTGGTCTGATCAATGTGTACAGCAGGATCGCAAAAAATAATCAATTTGTTCACGCTTTTTACAATGGATCTAAAACGGGTATTAAAGTAATTGGCAGGTTTAAGGTATTAAAGAACTTTAAAAGCCAGGATCAATAACAGATGCAGATTTAAACAAATGTCCAGGTAAAGTAATACGGCCACTCGTGGAACCGTCCCCAGGTGACCTGCTTCCATGCAAGGTATTCCCCCGAGAGGTTTCGCCCGCACTTCCATGCTATACCATGCCGTGTGCCGGTGTGGCATAGTAACATATGAGCCATCACCTGTTTATCATATTCAGTGTGTCACGCCGAATGGTGATGAAACGTTTGCGACAGGATTGTCAGGTTTAGCGAACAGTTCTACCGCCATCTGAACAACCTGAGCTACCAGTTTTCGTTTCTTGAGATGCTTTTCGTCTAAAATACGGTAAAACTTCCTTAACTTGACTTCTCAAGGGACTGGACCAAATTAGTCGACATACTGAGGTCTCGATCCCTAAGGTTTGCGTGGTAAACATATAAGCAATGCAAAACAAACGGTCAACTTTGAGTGATAGTGAAGATATTGAGATGGCTAACCTTGATTTTACTGTACACTTATTTGGATTCACAAAGCACCACATTCGCCACTGATCAAATTGATGCGACGTCTATCTGGTTATCCATTATTCATCTGTTCGGTTTTGCGCAGGTGTGTGTGTGGTGTTAGCTAGAGGGCGAGCAGCATTGACCACCCCAGACTGACATGTAGCTTGCTGGTATCGATAGCCCCAAATGAATCCCAATTGAGCGCGCGTTTATTACGCGACGAGCATGTGACTTGGAATAGCGGATGATACCACGTGGAAAGCAGTGGAAGTAAATAGGCCACATTGAATAAGTGATTCATGAGAGCTATGTAGAGATCCATTTGTTTCTCTGATTGGATTTTGATCAAACCCCGTTAATGGGCACCTCCTCCGCGAACGTTATCGCACCCGTGTGTGGGTGACCTCACAGTATCCCCCTAGGCCGCCGCCCTCGATTGGTGGTGCGCTTGCGCAGCGGCATCGAAGCGTCGAGGCAGCGTTCCGCTACACACCACATTTCGAGGTGACTACTTGCTGCTTACTCCTTCTATGTGGTACTCGGTTGTAACATGTGTTACGTTCGGACCCTGCATCTTCCGAACTCATTATTCAGGTACATTGGAGGAGCAGCTTAAGCTATTTTAGTGGCAGATGCTAGTGATCAGAAGCATTATAAATAAATGATCCCCTTTACATAGCAATCCATTTGTTTCTGATCGGCGGTTGCGAGGCTACTCGTTTCTCTTCTCATGTATTTGGATGGGCAAATACGCTGTTTGTCGTTATATTGTGGTGACGACATACGTGGGCTGAGCAATAAATTTCCGGATACGCACTACACAGTTTAGGTGCAGATGACCTGGCAAGAAAAATGTGAATTGTGATTCATTCCGAATATTGTGTGTCGATTTCAACTCACAGAACCCTGTACCAACAGCCCAGCACAGCTCACAAGTCATAAGTGTCGCTATACTCTGACTTTATGCATGAAACTCAGTCGATGTCACTATACGGCGATGATATTATTTGACTACAAATATGGCTTAAAGCAGCACCAGCGTATTGAGCGATTACGTGTTGCGTTTGGTGATGCGCCTCCAAGAATCACCGTGGTTGAATGGTTTGCGGAATTTAATCGTGGCAGGTGCTTCCTGGATGATGAGTCAACATGTAGGCGACCTGTGAAGGCCACTACCGCAGACAACATTGCTGTTGTGCAAGTGGTGCTTTAGGGGGACGCGCGGGTGACCTTGGCACAGCTCGGGAAAGCCATTGGGATCAGCGGGATCAATCCACACCATCCTACGAAAGAATTTCAGCCCCAAAAAGTTTTGCGCATGTGGGTACCCCAACAGCTCAATGAGGACCAGAAAGCAGCTCATGCCAATTGGGGCCGCATCGTGCTTGCCACGTTTGATGGTGGACGTTGCAATCCTGTTTGGTGATAAGACTTGCGTGTACAGTTCCGACCCGGAGATCAAGCAACATTCAACTCAACGAACGGCCGTTGGTGGGGCGGGAGCGCAATGTGTCCAAGCAATTAATGTTCGTGGCCAAGACGGGTCATGTGGCTACTGTACCGCTTTACGGCAACGCACAGTAACTAAAGACTGCTATGTCACCCCCCGTCTGCCAAAACTGCTACAAGCTGTAGCCAGGCGTCGTCCAAGGACTCAAGCACGAGGGACCTTGATGTACTATGACAACGCGCCTGCGCACAGGTCCCATGTCGTCGTAGATTTTGTGATTAGATGGTGGGTTTGGTCACCCACCCTGCAGTCCAGACCTGACTATGTGACATTTTTCTGTTCTTAATTGTCAAACGCATGATGCGTGGAATCCGCTACGAGTCTGTAGAAGCTGCAGTGGATGCCATTATTGAGCGGCTTGAAAGGTTACCCGCTTCGGCATGATTGCATGAACGCTGGTGGAGAGTACTTCTAGAAAATGTAATGCTTATTTTGTTGTGAAAATGTGACTGGATCTGGAAACGTATTGCTGTACTGTCGTATCATGAGTCAGCTAGTCTTCGTTTGGGAATATTTGGGTGTCGCTCCTCCCAACACTGGCACACCACGACCGCGGTTTCGTCCTGGTTTGGACTCATCAGGTGGCGATAGCCTGAGCTGGGCTGGAACTCAGAGCCTAGTAGTTCACGGCTGACGCCCTGAACACTACGCTACTGAGATCCGCGAGCAACGCTTGGCACAGCGGAAAGGAATTCAAAGTTGAATTTAGGGAACCCGCTATGTGGTTGGGTTGTGACACGCAACCTCTATTGAGACGTCGGTTCATTTTGAGGTAAACCTCGGTCATTCCGATCGCAAGGACCGTATCCTTAATGTCAATATTTGAGTGTTGTTCCCCTAGCACGCACACATCACATTCGTAGTTTTCTCCTGGTTGGGACTATTCACGTGGCGAAAGCCTGAGCTGAGGTGGAACTCAGAGCCTTGTAGTTCGCGGCTGACACTCTGAGCACTACGCTACTGAGATTCGCGAGCAACGCTTGGCACAGCGGAAAGTAATTCAAACTTGCATTTCGTTTACTTTTCTTTGCTGTTTGCGAAACTTCGCAGTCGATAAATATCTCAATTTAAGCACCAGCGCACAGGATATATGGTGGCTTCTTGTTTCTTCAACTATGGGGCAACCACAGTCTTTGTCTTGGTAGTACTGCTTTCTGAGACACTTATATGACACTCCCAACGCTCAGCACAATAAATTATAACCTGAACTTTTACAATGACGACGGGCATTACATTTTAGTGTCTTGTTCAATCGATTGTGGTTACTGTGGATCGTTCGTAGTTTTCGTACCGGAGTACGGTAGTAAAACAGTGTGGTCATACATGAAATGTATTTCCCCAACGGGTAGAGTAAACCGAAGCGTTCATTGCCATCTGGTGATACGTCAAGATTGCCGTAGTCCATACGTTGTCTAAACCCTCATTGACTCAGGGCTAAACTAGAAGTGCTAACTCTCCCAGCGAAATGGAGCAAGCGTCAATGATCAAGTCGCACGCGTCACGAACTCAAGGATACCAACCGGTCATCTCTGACTGTGATGACCTTTACTTGGTACTAGCGCGGAGTGACAGCAGATGCCACTCAGATCCGCACCTGACATCCTAAGTTCTTTTGGCTTTTACATATCTGATTGCCGCTTGCCTCAACTTGCGCTTTTTGCTTCTTATGGTCAAGTCCCATTATTCTCAGTAAATGAAGTGGAAAACTTTTTGTGATAGCTATCTAACTTATGCCTTAAACCTATTGATTCGCGTCGTTCTGTTGTTGATTATACACTCATCGTTAGTCATTATAGTTGTCAAAAATGCATTCGACATGCTGCATTTGGGAGTCCATTGACCCTGTTCTATTAGCCTTCTTGCTACCAACTACATACAGGCGATTTTGAATTCATGGCCATATACATCTGCGGTTGCGATTATTACACTGATATTTTCCATGCCATTTCGCACAGTGTGTTGAAACGACATAATTCCTTTACCGTGGTTTGACCTCTGTTGCTGGCCTCACTGTTCGAACATGTATGGTAGGGGGAAACTGTCCCTGCTAACTGGAGCGAATCGGTCCTAGTGACAATATACTAGCATGGCAGTCGCACCGACTGTGCTAACCACAGAAGTATTAGCCTAACGCTCGTAGTGACAAAACTACTGGCGTCAATCCTCGTTCCTTGCCTCACTGCGGAACGGGAATCCCTTACTAGGGAGGAGCACGCAGGTTTCCACCTAAAACTTGTCTGTATAGACCGCGTAATCACTTTGCGGCTAGTGCTAGAACAGCGCCGCGCATACCTCAGGCCAACAATAGCTATATTCCTCGAATTCAGAAATGCATTCTATTCAGTTGATTGATGTATTCTGTTCGGAATACTTTTGCTGAAAGTTGTTCCCATTAAATGTGAACATTTTACGTGCTCTGTACTCGAGCACCACAGGTCGCATCAGGGTCTACGATGACCTGTCTGATGGCTTTCCGACAACAAGTGGCATTCGTCAGGGTTGTCCTGTTTCCTCGTTTTTGTTCACTTTCGTACTGGACTCCATCATGTAGTGTTACCTTGCGGATTTTGACAATGCAGGCATTGAGGCGCTGTCTGGTGAAAGACTAGTTGATCTTGTTTATGCGGACGATATCATCTAACTGTTTAACAATCTTGAGGCGGCACAATCAACTCTGAATAACGTGTGTAGAGTGCTTTCACTATTCAGTATGCATTTCGCACCTTCAAACTGCGAAGTGGTGTTGCAGGACCACCAGCCACTTGATGATTCCTTTGACTGTACATAGCGAGGAACTCGTAGTAGTTGATCAACTCACCTTGGGAGCTGTATTAGCAGCGATGAGTGTATAACTGCTGAGGTCAATTCACTTATTGCAGAAACCAGAGCTGCTTTTTTGTATTTGCGACACCTTTGGCGACAGAAAGTGGTTCCACTCCGTTTGAGAAGCCGTGTTTACAAGGCCCCAGTGAAAGCCGTCCTACTCTATGGGATTGAGACTTGGCCCGTTTGGTCAGAAGATCTGAAGGGCCTTCGACTCTTTGACCATCGCTGTCTGCGGAGCCTTGCTGGTGTCGGGTGGCACCAGCGTGTTCACAACGACGATGTGCGTAGGCGGATGCCAGGCAGTGATACTCAAGGTACTTCCTTAGAATAACCGGTGGCAGTGGATTAGTTGTGTTGGCTTGGGGACATACTACGTATGCCCGGTCATCACTTACCGAGTGGGACTTTGTTTTGTCTGCTAGATGTAGGGTGGCACAAGGCTTCATTTGGACAAACGTTGACTTTATAGCGGTAAACAAAGTCACTGACAACCAAACTTTTTGCGGTCGGTCCGTCTAGCCTTTAACACTGGAGTCCACTTGATTCATCTTGTGCTTTGCTCGACGGGACATGGCTCACAGTCGGCACTAGTGGCGCGCCTGCTGCCGTCTCCTATTCCTACTGCCTGTTTTACGTGTGTTTGTGCTGAGCTATCTGCTGGGTAATGGTTGATTATAACGCGGGGAATTGAGTGCCGCAAGGAAGCGGTCTCTCTGACGCCGCTTTACGTTTGCACGATAGCCAGCTGTCTCTGATGATATGTTCTTGACAAGGTGTAGGCGCCGTGATCTTGAATATTTGTTTAGGGCACTAAGGTTTTCCGTTACCCCTTTCTCTCCATCTTATTATTCTTCGTTCCGTTGGCCGTTATGGTTGTATTGCAGCGAAGTTTCAATCCAACTGGCTGATGTATTGCTGTTGTTGATGATGATGAGGATTATTTGGCCCCTATATTAAGGTGAATGAATCCCACTGATTCGAGTGCACGCAACGTGTGCTGGCTGATGGCTATGCTGCATGTGCGACTCAGGACAACCGATTATAATTCGACATCGCACTGGTCACCCCATCACCCCACAATGCCGGGATTCTGGGTTCGGTACTGGTGTATTGTTGGATGTTTATCATGTCTACTTAAGTAGTCTATGACTATTCGTTATTTAGCATCAGCATCAACATTCACATCGACGTTTTCCTTCCTGCTCTGCTTCCTGTTGTATTCAGCCGTCACGATTTGGTGCATTGTACTTTTGTCCCTGGTAGTGTGCGTCGATGAATTGTTCATAAAACCTAATCCGGTGGAAGTGAATGCCTTGCTCCATAAGCATCTTCATTGATTACTTTTCGTTGCAGACAAGCGAGAACACACGTGCAGCTACTGTGATAAATCGTTCTCCCAAGCAGGCAATCTGAAGATGCACATCCGTTCTGTACATTTGAGTAAGTTTTCTGTTGGCTGCGCGATTTGGCTTTGTTCTTCTTTATTTCATGCTGTTGCCATTCGAGTGAACTTGATTATTCTTCACATCCATCCAACTGCACATTTTTGGTTCATTTCACCTTACAGGCTACTCTGGTTGGTTTGCATTTTGCTTAAGACGTAAGAGATTTAAGCAAAGAGATGTACGTTGAGGTGAGTCGCGGGGAACTCGACACAGGGTATGTGGATTTCAGCGTTCGGTTTCAGCTGATGTCACAATTCACTTTGAATTAACCTCCTGCAGGAGTGCTGCTTCTTCGATTCTTCTTTGCAGCCCATCATCCTCAATTAAGTAGCTAGCTAGTCCGGTTATTTCGCGGCTGATGCGATTGTTACATTCCATGCTCCCTTCGGTTGTCCTTTTTCGAAATGATTTCATATTTTGCTAGCTCGGGAGGCCTGTTCAGTTGTTCTGGTGTTCACCAAGTTGGACAACGTAACTGCAAACGTTTCGCCGCCATTCGAAGTAGCATTTTCATTGCAGATTTGCTAGCAGTCAGGTGGAAGGAGCTGGTAGACCGCAATGATGGATTTTGTCAGTCGCTACTCCCTTCCTTGTAATGGCGTACAGGGTTATTAAGTGCCTCTTGTTCTAACTGGTAACTGCGGTGGTGCTCGGGTCACTGCCGCTGGTTGCGCAAATGTTGCTGCGACCTGGTTGGAAATATCGCGCTCGGATTGTTGCAGTGGATGTGGGTGAGCCGTCTAGACCCACGTCGACCATTTGGTTCAGTGACTGGGTGTGGGATTAGGTCCCTTTAAACAGTGGTTGTTAGTCCTCTTGAGCTCTCTCTGTCTCATCGGCTGGTATATTGCATCGATATCGATATGCATGTTGTTTGCGTTCCTGGTTGGATACCAGGCTTAGAGGAAATCCCTCTCGTTTATTGTTTCTCCCTGGGCCAGGATTTCTACTTTGTTCCGGTCGAAGCTGTGTCCCTCTTCATCCACATGTGCTAAAACCATTGAGCTTGCCTACTGTGTCTTGAACACCGTTTGCTCTTCTTGTATCCTTGTTGACAGCTTCCTTCCTGTTTGTCCCACACCGTGCTCTTCACAATTTCCGCAGTTTATTCTATCTACGACATTCCGTCGTTCTAGTGTTTATCGTTTTTCTTTTGGTTCTGATAATGTTTTCCAAAGGGTGACGGTTGGCTTGTGGAGTACCATAGTATACCGTTGTTTAAACAATACGTCAGTAATTTCAGATATGTTCTTTATGCACGGCAGAACTATACGTTTCGTGGTTGCTGACGTTGGCTCTGTTTTTAAGGGCTTGTGGTTTAAGCGTCTTTTGAGGAAACTGCATGGGTATCCGTTGCGTTCAAATGACTTGCATAGGTGCTTTTGTTCTGCTCATTGCGCTGCCATCGTACTGCGCTGGGTTGCTGTCTGTACACAGCTTACTTTGTGACATCTTGGGTAGTTGCTGTTGAGGCTCAAAATCTGACCCTTGTGCTTCCTTTTTTTGTACACAAATGTTTGCAGTCCGCCGTCCATTATTCTGGTTACTAACTCATCCGAGAAAGGGAGTTTCTTTTCTTTCTCTCGGTAAACTAGATGCCGTCCATAGCGTTGTTAACCAGGTGTACAATCGACACTTCACTACGTTTGTATACCATAAACGTATCATCGACGTAGTGAGTCCAAAGCTTCAACTTGTTAATTGGTCAAAGATCCTCTTCCAAATTTTGCATGACAATCTCCGCGATGAGTCTGAATACAAGTGATCCCATCGGTGCACCTTTCATTTGTTTATAAATTTTTCCGTTGATAAACATCAGTGTAGAAGTTCGCATACACTTCCGGTCGTCTTGTTCCCATTCTTCTCTCCGCTGTTGTCCGGACGTTCTACGATAACTTCGTTGGTCAGCGTTAAGTTGACGGAAGTGAATTGGGCGGTTACATCCCTTGTGACCTCAGGGGTTCGACGTAGCAGCTCCTATGTTGCGCCTCGCGATTCAAAAGACAACCCACCGGATAAGTAGTATATTGGTGAACACAGAACAGGCCGACGTGGACGAAAAACACACCGATGCAGTTCGAATCACAGTTGTGTGCTCGTTTGATTTTACAGGTCTCAAGAAGCAAGGGACGTGTGAGTAATGGGAAACAAGCGATAGTAACAAATGTGCTGCAACCCTGAAAAACACTGGTTTGCTTGTAAGTGAGACTGTTCTGATACAAAACGCACAGTTACTTGTGCGAAATCGCACACTTACCTTTCTGAACAAGTCAATTTGTTCCGTTTCTGTGCTCATTTCACTTTGAACTGTGTGACATTTTGTTTTTCCATGCGAATTACAAGATTCGGCTTGAATCAGTGACACCAACTCGACTTGGTTCTTAGTCAGTGCGATTTTCCTCATAGTAAGCCGCTCGAGACCTAACACCACCTTGTTGAAATAGTTAAACCGGCAGTTGAATAGCTCTTCCTTCGGGGGTCGACCTGCAAGGGTTGCACGCATCTTCTTATCTGCTTTGGCCTTACTCGGTTTTCGCTTTCACTCCGTTCCACAAGTTGCGTATCCTGTCTGGTCGAGGTGCTTGTGTGCAAAGGGTAAAACGACTCGTTGAATTCGAGACCTTTTTAGTCGTCCGTCTCTGGAATCTTTGTAAAACGCGGTCGCAGTTGGTTGGCATGATGAACCCATACTTGCCTACCAACGCGAACATCGTACATTACTTTGCCACGTCGTCCCATGATTTGACCTGGTATCCAGCTCATTCGACCTCAATGATGAGAGGCAGCAAATACCTCGTTTCCAACTCTAAAATTCCTGTGCCGTGCTCGTTACCGTCTGTTGTACTGGGCTTCCATAACCGAATTCGTGTGACGTATCGGTGGGCGTTTTTGAGCCATCAGATCTAGAGTGCTTCTTAGTTTTCGACCCATGAAGGCTTCAGCTGGTGATTTCCCATCTGGTGCATTAGGATTCGGAGTAATACGATAATTCAAAAAATATTCCCAATTTCATCCAGCGTCCCCTCGCCCTTAGATTTTAACATTACACGTTTTAGGGTATCGACATACCTTTCTGCTTGGCCATTTGATTGGGGATGCTACGGGGCAGTCCTCATGTGTTGGATTCCATTGTGTGCGCAGAACAGCGAATTGATGCGATGTGAACTGTGAGCCATTATTCGATACCATTATTTCTAGTAAACCGTACTGACTAAAAACACGCTTTAGCGCAAGGATTGTGATGTTTGTGGGTGTGCTTCGCATCCAAATAACTTCAGGCCACTTACTGTATGCTTCGACAATTATGAGAAGGAAAGTCCCCTCAACTGGTCCTACAAAATCTACATATATCCGCGACCAGGATGATTCGGGATTCGGCAAAGATTACATTGTTGTTCGCACCGGAACTTGGAAACACTTCGGCATTTAGAACAGGATCGTCCAATGTTTTCTAGTTGGCTATCCGTCATGGGCTAAAACACGTAACTGCGCACAAGTGCCTTCATGCGGGCGATTCCTGAGTGGCCCTTATGCAATTGCCTCAGCACGCGTTGCCTGTGTACTTCTGGAATGACAAATCGATCCGTGAAAAACAGGCAGGCATCGGACAAAGCGTCGCGTCGCGTGAAAAACTGTAGAAGGGATTCGTCAGGGCATTGCTTTGGCCAGCCTTGTCTCGTGTAGCAATGTGTCTTGGTTTGCGGCTTGCTGAACCATTCTTGTGTTTACCGACAAGGTACACACGGCATCGCTTATCATGTGGCTGGTATCCGTGTCGGTTGTGATTGAAGCAATGACAGCATTCTCAGGCTCACGTCGACTAGTATCGATTTATCTGGACAGGGCGTCCGCTTGCCCAATAGAAGCAGTTGACGAATATCTCATGTTGAAATCGAGCAAGATGGTCCATACCTGAAGTCTACTGACCGTGTACGACGGAATGCCATTTTGGATCAAAAGATAGCGAGTAACGATTTGTGGTCCATCACTAGTGTGAAACGCCGGTCGTCAATCATGTTGTGGCATTTCTGAACAGCAAAGCGATAGCGGGAGCTTCTTTCTCGCTTTGGCTATAGTTCTTCTCAGAGGTGGTCAGAGCTCGTACCGCATGCGCCACAGTTTTTTCTGAACCGTCTGGTAAGCAGTGTGAAATGACTGCACCAATTCCGTAGCTCGAAGCGTCTGTAGCCAGGATGATATCCAGATTTGGATTGTAGTAGGTAAGCAATCGGTCTGATTTTAGCAGAGATCTCAATTTCCCGAATGCCTGTTTACATTGCCATTCGACATCTTTCATCAGCAGATGAATCAAGGGATGGCGTGGACGATGCATAGCTGGCAGAAGCTCGCTATACTGACTCACTATTCCGAGAAACGATCTCAGAGTTGTGACATCCGTTGGTGTAGGCAATCGATCTATTATCTCAATGTTCTCGGGTTCGGGATGTCGATCTCGTTTATTAATCACGAATCCTAGGAACTTAATGGATTTCAAGGAGAATTTGCATTTGTCTGCACGTAAACGGAATCCATAACCTTTGATTTGCATCATCACATCATCTAGTCGTTGAAATAATTCGTAATATGTGGTGCCTATTATGATGATGTCATCCAGATAGGCTGCAGCCCCACTTACCCCAGTCAACATGGCATCCATGACTTGCTGAAAAATTGCGGGTGCGGTTTTAACCAAATGGCAGACGATTGTATTGGTACAGACTACGATGAATGTTGATCGTGAGAAGCTTTCTGCTTTCAGGTTCAACTTCTGGTTGTAAATAAGCATCCGCCTAATCCAAGCTCGCGAAATATTTACCACCATTGGGCTTCACGAACAGGTCGTCAGGAAGTGGAAGTGAATACTAATGGGGTTGCAGTGCATCATTCAGACCAGTTGAAAAATCTGCACACAAGCGAATAGAGCCGTTGGGCTTCTTAGTCACGACGATTGGAGCAGCTCAAGGTGGGAAATTTATTGGTTGAATCAGGCGGATT